GCCACTCAAGGTCCATAAGCAAGCCGCTCCGGTGACGTCCTATCCATTCCAAACCTGTGTGTGGAAGGTAATACAAAAGTGACGTTCCTCAGCACTTATTGAAACGTAACACAGGGGTTAAGGTTGCACCTGCTCTCGCCGCTGGCAATGCGGTCATATATAAACCGTCACCATTCGCTCCAGCTTCGCCTGTGCTCCTTGGAGAGATTCTTACCGCCGCAGGAGTACCCAAGGGAGTTTACGGAGTCGTACAGGTGAGTTTTGACGAGAGTCGTTGTTTATGGGCAGTAGGAGAGGGTAGGTCGCTCATTCATTTCTCACTAGAATTCTCTTGATCGTAGCACAGTAGCTGTAGTTGTGTGCAGCCGTCCCTATATATAGATCTCGTTAGCAAAGTGAGCATCTAAGGAAGAGGCGCAATGCCGAGGGCACAAGCACTAACTTCCCACCAAAATGACACAAGATCAAAAAAACATCTGTCAGCTCCTCTGGGTCGCTGTTAGGACCACACACCAGTTCAATTTCTTCACTTCCTCCTAAAAATAGGAGGTGCAGCGCGCCCAAAAAAAGATACACTCTAGTTTTCATACTATTTACGCAGATAGGAGCTTTTTGGAGCTAAAAATTCTACCTGATCTTACTAAGTTTGTAAGTACATAAGGGGCCATATAATCAGCCATGGCTTTATTCTCGAGACTTGAATAAACTCGAGCTCCCTCAAAGAAAGGAATACTTGTTGGATTCGAGACTGGAGACGTCCCATTGCATCCTCCAATCTACTGCCTATCTCTGATATTTACTTAACAACTCTTTATAGGCTTTTTCATTTCTATCGTTTCTAAGGCTTTTGTTCAAGGGAGAAGCAGAAACGGGTAACTTCCTCTGCATTCATCCTTTGGTCAGAAAACTCTCTTTCACCGGTTCCGTCGCCGGCGGTATGGCGCTGCAACGACAAGCAGCAACTGAAAACGTCAAGCCGGTAATATTCAACCTCTCTTTTGCCAGTGCAACATTTTTTCCAGATCCGAAAATAAATTTTAGGTCACATTGGAACTCGGAGGAAAATCAGAGCTGATCATATTTGACGACTCCGAAGTAAAAAGCGCAGTCGCGGCGGCAATGCTTGCAAATTTCCTCAATCAAGGTAGCGTTAGGTGTTCCTGTTCAGGTCGCCCCCGTTCATTCTTCCCATGCAAAAAACTCCTGCCCTGCCTTTCTAGTGATGGGTAGTCCGAGGTGTGCATAGTACTATCCAACTCAAAAGTTTCCTTGTCTTATCGACGGGCTAGTGCGATTAGAATTGTCTTCATAATGTCAAAGTAGGGGAATATCTTGTGTACCCTGCAGCACCATCAGGGGCAATCATGGTGCCTCCTACAGCTCCTCCCTCTTCCTCGCTAACGTGGCCTTTTATGCATCACCCGTTCTGAGCACTGAAATGCACGTAGAGACCGAACCTTGGAAAAAGTGGAATGGTGAGAACTACTGTACATTACACTACTAATACATTGCAAGGGAATGAACGATGGATGACGTTTTCAATGGCACCTTTGATTGGGATTTCTTCAGGTCAAGTCTGCACAAACGCCACACGAGTTTATGTCCAACGAGGCATCCTGGAAGAGTTTACTGCAGAGCTTCTCAAGGTATACTGTAACTATTTCTCAGACTTGTTCCTTTGATTGTACTGTTTTAGGCGCATGCCATAGGCGCAGCGACCATTGATAAAAGTAGATCGGTGAAAATCCAGTTTGGGAGGAGTGCACTCCTTGATATCTTATCATTGGTCTTTGAGAGCGCTGTTTTGGTTCTCTGAGGATAAGATAGCAAGTGAATAACTCATTCGAAATGCACTTCTGATGTGGATCTCCTGTACTCCACACCTCCTGCCTACATCCCATCCAATTTTCTGTACCAAGTTATCCACCTTAGAGCTCTCCACCCTTAGGCTGAGAAAAAGCCCCCAATCCCTGGTTCAGTTCCGTTCGCTTGAACCATTGCAGGTGGAATTGTGGAAGCACCTTGAAAGTTATTCTTACACTTCACCGATATTTATCAGGAAGGCACTTCAAATGATCGTTTACGTGTCACGAGCGCCCTTATTCTTAACTTCGCCCTTATTCTTAACTTGAGTATGGGAGAACACAATAGGGTGCCCACCTCCCTCCCCTCCTCCCCCCCCCCCTCCACCAAACTGATTTCCGCCTGTGCGATTCCGATTCAAGTTACTCTTAAATTCTTGTCGTCCGTCTTCAGGTACCCCAATATTCATTTCGTGTTCATTTGAAAATTTAAGCTTTTTAATGTTATTTCCACCTTTCAGGAATGCGACGAGAAGCTAAAGATTGGTGATCCGCTTCTTGACGATACAAGGGTTGGAGCAAACATTAACGAAGCTCACTTGAACAAGATTCTCGGATTTATCGAAAGTGCCAAGAAAGACGTACGTGAAATTAGTTATTGCCTACCGTATCTGGTTACTGTGGATCTAAACATTCGAACACCTCTGGGCGTGAAGAACGGGTTGCTCCCGTTGGGATGTGCAGCGCTTGGTTCGCCGCGTCATTTTGCCAAATGCCCTGCGGAGAGCATTACGTACCAATTAGCGACCACTTACCACGTATTTCTAGCGTCAGTTCCTGACAAGCTTGGCAAGGAGGATTTGCAAGCTGCGCTGCGGGAACGGACGTTACTCACTCCTTCTAAAAAGAAGAGAATAACTTCAGTGACTCGCTGTTCTTCGAGTTTGATTAGTGAATCTTTCATTATTCCAAAGATACGGTGCATTGTCTTGTGTGCATTATGGGTATTTAGAATTTTATGTTCACTATTAACACGACCGAGCATGGAGACGCAGGCTCAATATTTGATGTTCAGGGTGGCCAGATACTTCGTGGAGGCCGTCGGGTGCATCCGAAAGGCGTCGAAGACGGTTTCTACTTTGATCCAGCCGTGATTATTGGACTGACGGTTTGTACTACAATTTAGTATACATGTCATTCCACACGTAGAACTTGGAATCCCCTGGGTGATTGCCGAAACCTTGGAACTTTTCTATAACCAGAAGCTATATCGTAAAATTCATTGGAAATTGTAGGATGACGCACATGCGGTTCGAGAAGAAATTTTCGGTGCTTGTTGTTTGATTCTGCCATTTGATACCGAAGAAGAAGTGGTGAGAAGGGCAAATGACACGATGTACGGATTGGCCGCTGGAGTTTTCTCAGGGTAAGGAACTCCGTAGAACCATTTGCGATCAACTACAGTAAAATTAGAAAATTGTCTTGATATCTCAACTTAAAACCCAAACCAGCGAGATTTCAGAAATTTGGCTCGCTGCCATCGAATCGCCACTCGATTGCATGCCGGAACCGTGTTTATCAACACGTACAACGATACGGAGGTATGTAGATTTTC